AGATGCCCGAGCCACCTCAGCTGGCTCCTCTCAATGTGGAGGAGCAGCGGTTCTACTCTGAGCTCCTCCCGGGTGACCGAGCTCCTCACCCTATCTCTAAGGGTGCACCCGGCCTCCCTGTGGAGGAAGCTCATTTCGGCCGCCTGTATCCGGGATCTTGCCCTTTTGGTCATGACCCAAAGTTCATGACCATAGGTGAGAGTCAGAACGTAGATTGACCAGTAAATCGAGAGCTTCGCCTTACAGCTCAGCTCCTTCTTCACCACGACGGACCGGTACATCGACCGCATTACTGCAGAAGCTGCACCGATCCACCTGTCAATCTCCCGTTCCATCCTTCCCTCACTCGTGAACAAGACCCCAAGATACCTGAACTCTTCCACTTGAGACAGGAACTCTCCACCAACCTGAAGGGAACAAACCACCCTTTTCCAACTGAGAGCCATGGCCTTGGACTTGGAGGTGCTGATTCTCATCCCAGCTGCTTCACACTCAGCTGTAAACCGCCCCAGTGCATGCTGGAGGTCCTTTCTTGATGGAGCCAGGATCTCCAGGATCTCGTCTCTGCTTTTTGCAGATGACGTTGTCCTGTTGGCTCCATCAAGCCAGGACCTCCAGCGTGCACTGGGGCGGTTTGCAGCCAAGTGTGAACATTTATTATTAGTTTTATTATTTAGTTGTAGTTGCCACAAAGTCTAATGCAAATACTGCATTCATCATGGCATATACACTTGGCTCGAAAAGCATACTCAATCACTGGAATAGAAGCATTTGTAAAGCAGTGAATACATTTTTTGAGTGCCTCAAAGCCCCTGAAGCAACTCATTTCATGTGCTTGGCACCACATGAGCATTAGCCAAATTGTCCTGACAGATGACACACTCGAGCTGAAGGCTGTTGACATCTGCAGTCAAGCTGAAGCCATAAGACAAGTAGCATTCATGATACTGCCTACTGACAGTTGTTTTTCTTTCTTTTTTAAGGTGGTTCTTTTAGCCTATAGGATTTGCCTCTGAATAGGGAAATGAGTGGATACGAAGTAGTAACATAGTAAATTAAAAATTCTTTCATAACTCTTTGTATCATTGTATACTACAATAATAATGGCTGTAGTATGGCTACATACTACATTAGGCTTCAGAATGTTTGCACACTACATTGTGCCCATTCACTTACACTCAGTAACTTACCCTGACAAAGTAAAAAGTGTTTATAGAAAGGTTAGCAAATTTATTAAAACTCCACAGACTGGACTCAAGGATAATTCAAGCAAACAAGATGCACCTGACAGTTTGGATTGCTACAGCAGGCAGGCATGTACAGACTTATCCAAGCAGCTTCAAAGCTGTAATTGCCACAAAGGGGCTTCTACAAAGTACCTAAGTAAGGATTTGAATATTTTTTATAAATGAAGAGATTATTAATAAACTTACTAAAAATTTTAAAAACATGTTTTCATGTTGTCTCGCACAATGTCAGCTGGGACTGGCTCCAGCCCCCCCACAACCCTCCACAGGGTAAGCAGTGTAGCCAATGGATGGATGGCCAGTTTGTGTAACTTTTGGAAATAGTAGGACACATCATTCCAACAACAAGGTGTCTAAATCAAGCAAAGACAAAATAAAGAAAAGAAGAATCCACATTACACATAGGTTTTACCTTGAATGTAGACAAGCCATAGAGTCTTGTGGTGTGTACCGTTTCAGGGGAAACATTGGTGATGTTTGTTATAAACTCCTCCAGATACCTGCAGGCCTGCTCCAAGTGGGTGGTGTTAATGATGATTTGCACCAGCTACAGAAGGAAAGTTAGAGTTTTAGACTAAATGAACAAATCCTTGGCTTGTGTGCGTGTGATTAGTAACAGCGGAGTTGTTACTACCTCAGTCAGCCCTATGTGAGGTTTCTTGATGAGGTTTTGGAGACAGCTGCTGAGTGTTCTTGTCAACAGCAGGTTGGTTGATTTTCGCAACATGTCGTCAATCTCCGTTGAACTGGATACACCAGCGTGTTCATAGTTACACAACAAAGATACAATAGATCAGGAAGGATTAGAACTATAGAAGTGTTCTGGTGTCCATCTCGACATACTGACACATACAGTAATTGTTCAGTGACCTACCTGCGGTGTAGTGACTCTGAAAACTTCAGGCTTGCATAAATGAACTCTTTGACCTGCGTGTAAATCTGAGGGACAGACTGGGACATTGGCAGCTTCTTAGGAAAGTCCTGCTGCTTACACACACACACACACACACAACACAAAAAACAACAGCATCAAATAATCACTCATTATCTAATACACACCCAGGTTAATCATTTCAAGTCTTATGCCTTTTCTTTAGGACAATTTTTTTTCATGTTCACACACTAGTTCAATGACAACTCCTGGTTTAATCCTTCAAAATATTCTCACCCATTGTGACAGTTATTTAATGTCAAATGTCCTTTAAGATCAACAGCATCAAATAATCATTCATTATTTAATACACACCCAGGTTAATCATTTCAAGTCTTATGCCTTTTCTTTAGGACAATTTTTTTTCATGTTCACACACTAGTTCAATGACAACTCCTGGTTTAATCCTTCAAAATATTCTCACCCATTGTGACAGTTATTTAATGTCAAATGTCCTTTAAGATGACAAATAAATTCTAACAATGTTTATGTTGAGGACTTTCTTTAGCTGCTCCATGCTAATGATTCTATGAATTTAAATGCGAAAGTTTGAACCTCTTGAAATGAACAGAGTGCCAGGGCTCTGAGATTCACGTCATAATTCATGAATTCATATTTTAAATCTTTTCTTATTTAATAAATGTATAGCAGCAGCTGTGGCTCGGGAGACAGAACCAGTCTAATTGGAAGGTCGGTGGTTCGATTCCTGGCTTCTTTAGTCCACATGTCAAAGTGTTCTTGAGCAAGATACTGAACCCTAAACTGCTCCCAGTGATATTACTGGTGTGTGTGTGTGTGTGTGTGTGTGTGTGTGTGTGTGTGTCTCCTTTGGAGTGCAAATGGATGAATGGGCAAATATTCTGAAAGTGCTTTGCTGCAATGCATAGAAAAGCACTATACAAATATAAGACCATTTACCATAAATAAATAAAGTTAAATTAAATTAATAAACACATATACAGTATATTTTCATAGGTGAATATACTCATGTAATACCTTGTTTGAAAGCTTGGAGACTCTTCTTTAAGAGTGTTCTAGGTATACCGTGATACAATGCAATAAGGCATTGAGAGTGACATCAGAATCTAGCAATTAGCCTGCTAGCTTGTATGGCTATCCTTTCTCCATATTAAAATGTCATTTGTGGGTCAAGAACAAACATCCATGACAAATGGGAGCACATTTAGAAGAACAAAAGTCCACTAATTAATCCAGCTCATGCATGTTGACACCAAAGCAACAATGACAGGAATACATGTTGTTGATTTCCAACGTTTCAATAACTTGTTATCAATATGGAAGTATAACTAATGTAGTGATAGGCTGAATTTAGGGGATTAACAAATGAATAGAACAATAATTTCGAGTACTGCAGACATTAGTACACACACAGGAGCAAAACAAGCCAATCAGCAGGTGTCTACGATCTAAACTTAGTCCTACGGGCAGATCAATGAAATTAACCTACAGCAAACCTGTACTGCTGCACAAGCCCCATGTTGGTTTTACTGTCATCCAATAATGTGTCTACAGCATGAAACCATTCAGGCACTGAAGCCAGTAAGGTTTCAGTTCTATCTATATGTATAGCTATAAATAAATGGTCCATACAGGCCTGCACAGAAAATAGCCATAGCACGCATTATCAAGAGATGGTATGACACCATTTTGGACGATAATGAAGAGATCAATACTATGATAAAACTAATATATAAAACAATAATCTAAGCATTCTTAACATATGCATGTTCACCATAACATTTATGCACATTCTCAGTGATGATGACTTCTGGGGAGCTTTAGATATATTCTGGGGCTGCTTTGGTTTTGCAGTGAGCCATGGCCACCTACTGGTGACACACATTACTGTGTGTTGTGTCATACTGCAAGTCAAAATCACTTTTATCAATAAACCTAAACTGTGGTACCGACATTATAAACAAGTTGAAGGATACACAGATGTGAATTTCAGTCCTTTATTCCATGTTATGACTGTCATATGTAGTTTAAATATGAAGTTACAAAAACAAAAAAAAACAGAAAGCATCTATCTGTTGACTCTGTTGAAAACATCATTAACTTAACTGTGGTAGTACTATGAATAAAACAAATTCTCAAATTTAAAGTCCTGAGTATTATCTTTACAAAGATACCCTGGCCAGGAATAAGCTCTAAAGAGGTTTGGAATTAGAAACACTTTCATTTTTTAAAATGAAATACAGGTGAAAATGCACTTCACTTTGAGAGGTTAAGGACAGGTAAAAGGGTGGTTGCAGTGGGGACTCTGGAATTAATACAGGGAACCATGTATGTCATACAAAGAATATAAATCATTTGTGATGATCCTTTATTTTAGCCCTTCTCTAATGACTGCTTTGTGAATATGTGCAGATGAACAACTTACTGTTTTTCCCCATTCATCTATCTATAGTATATGTATGTACAATAAGCAGCTGTACTGGGTTTTTGTATCTATCTGAATTTGTTACCTTCTCTATCTCAGCATCATGGAAGGGAAAGCGGCTGACTACCAGTTTATACTCCCCCTCTGTCTCCACTGGGATGGGACTGTAGTTATCCAATTCAAAGATCTCCCTGTGGAAAACCACACAGTTTAGTGTTTGTGCACGCTTACATTCGGGACAAATATTACAGTCTGTTTTAAGCAAATGTACAATTTGTTCAGTTGTTTTCATCAGATATCATTGAAGATGACAGTATTTTGCAGTTGTATTTTCTTGTTATTGCAAACAACATACACTCTAAAATACAAAATGTCATTAAACAAAGACTTGTCCATGTGTTAAGACAATAATCTGATATTTGAACAAATGCACAAGAATTATATCAATTCAATATTTTATGTTATTTTAAAGCCATTGTGGAAATGCAAAAAATAGAGACTCTAAGCTATAGTAGTGATGATAATATTTATGAAAAGAACACTTTCCTGTTCCTTTTATTCAGCTTATTTTACAGCTTTTGTTGCTGAAGAGTGACCTGAGCTTGTGGTGATGACTGAATTGGTCACATGCTCAAAGGGCCACTCACTGTATTGAGAACAACCTTTTTGAGAGTGATGGGTTTGAACTTATGGCCCTCACTGGGGTCAATGCATTGATCTTACATTTATGCTCTTCTTAATACCACGTTGTTGGAGTTTCTTTTCTCCATTCACCTTGAAAGTGTGTGAAGCTGTGCCCGACACCACCACTCTACAAATGCTCATTACTCACAAACTTAAGACACAGCATAACCCTAAAACTCTTTTCCATCACATGAAATTATGTCTTAGGTGACATAAACACAAGGCTTTGTCTACCTGTTTGGTTTCAAGTGAATATCTCACATAAAATGATGGACAGAATCACAATTACACCCACCTGAAAACCAGTGCCCACTTCTTCAGCAGAGTTTCGTTGTACTGGTCTCTGACCTCAAAAAGCAGGTCAAACAGCCGGTTGACTGGAAAACCATAACCCTGTACATACATATATAGACATCACATGTGCATGACCAAGTGTGTTAATTCCAACTGTTCTCCACACTTCGGAGCCACAAGCTGCTCAAATAAAGTCTGGCTCTGGACCAACCTGTAATGTGTCAGCGAAGATGACTATGAGGTTCTTCAGCTCCAGGACCAGGTCTGGGTCATTACAATAAGACTGGAGATAAACACACCAAATAATTAACAATAAACACTCAAAATCTGCAAACAAACTAGCAACAACACTATTATGGCAATTATTTATGAAGAAATGTTAATGAAATTTGTAATGCATAAACAATAAAAAAAACTATAAAAAAGTGAAATTACAAAGAAATTGACAGCTTGTGTTGTGCTGCTAGGTGAAATAATCAATAAAAAAAAAATAAAATAAAAAAATAACAGCAACCCGACTGTACGCTACCTGCTCCTCACCAAAACAACAGCAGACAAAGTTAGCGACTAACTTGTGAACACTGTGGATCATTTAGTAGCCAAATATGTTTCCCAAGTGTTGGTAGAGACCAGTGAACACTGAATATTAGAGTTACATTAATCAAAAAGCTGACTTGATATTAATACTAATTTTGCTCAGTATCATTTAGATGTGTATAGGCACCAGGTTTACCATATCAACTTAAAGGTTGATGATATGTTCACAGTATTTTTATCTGCTTGCAGAAACAGAAAATATAGAAGTATAAGGTATGGATTAAACTGTCTGCTCTAATGTTAGCGTGTCTGGCTAACCAGTTTATGAACAAAGTAGTAACCTATATAACCTAGCCAAAAATTAGGCCCACTCCCAATCCACCCCCTGCCCTACCCCTCTGTTTTGCGTGTCCACATGTAGTGCTAGGGGCGTCCAGATTCTCTTTAGGATGGAGGGATATGGTCAAGCGGTGGGGCTACATGGGCCTTCAAAGGGAGGGTTTTCAGAGGCAAGCTCAAAACCGAGCAGTGTGAGGATAACAACAACAAAAGTTATCTGCAGCTGATGCTACACGCTTGGAGCCAACAGCTAATTCTCAGCAGGTTTCCTTCTTGGGATATTGAACCTTTTCCACTTATTATGCTTCATACACTTTTAGAAAACAAAATCACAAACTGATATCCTTATAAGCTCTTACGTATTAGGGTGTTTGGCATTTCTACCCCAAAGCTGTGCACACACCTCAATGACATCATGCTCAGAAACCCGTGTATTACCTAACTGCCAAAGTTGCTGCTAAAATCTGTCAGCCACAGGTAGCCCTTCAGTCAACAGATCAGATGGTTGCAGACTAAAAATGTGTGCTTTGGTCTACTTTCTTCTGATTCTTCCCTTTTTACTTTATAATACACTGCATTAAGTGCCAACCATGAATATAATACCCTCAAACATTCCCCTGAATGGAAAGAAAAATCAGTGTCCATGGTACTGTATGTCAACTTTCTGCTAACAATCCAACAATGCAATTGCACTGCATTTGATCATTTTAATTTGTTGCAATTAAATATGCACAAAACTGGTAACAGTTGTGTTGTAAGGGTTTCATGCATCAAATACTGGGAGAACAATCTGCAATACTAATGTATTTACCACAGAATTCTGCATATCTATCTATCTAGATAGATATAAGGATAAAGATAAGGATAATCACCTTTATTGGCCAAATATGTTACACACAAGGAATTTGTTTCCGGTACAGAACCGATGGCAGCCATCTGCGGCGCCACCTCAACCGATGGCTCTAACCATCGGGGGCAACGG